GAATACTATACTGGTTTGGAATCGGCTTAGAATTATTGTCAGCATGCTTGGTAGCAGAGGTGTGCCAAGCCTCCAAAGTTTTTCTAATGCGAAAAGAGCTTTTGTCGATGACGCTATGCGATAGTCGAATGACCACACATGTTTCGCAATGTTTGATCCATTAGCACAGTTTTTGACATTCCTAGCCAGACATTTTTAGCCAGCGAACATTTTTATTGTAATTTTTAATTATGTCTCATTCTGGCTGCGCTTCAATCTTTAATAATTTTATAATTTAGTTTCAATTTGTTGTTTTTCTCCACTGAGATGGTGGACTACAGGAACTGTTGCTGGGTGTCATTGATTATTAATTTTGCTATTATTAAATTGTGCCAAAAATTTTATCCTTTTGCATTCCATTTTTATCCGTCGAAGGCTGTAGATCGACAGCCGAAAGCTCATGTTCTTTTTGAACCTTTTTAGCCAGCGAACGTTTTTATTGTAATTTTTAATTAAAAAATTATTACTGGAAGCGTACGCAAGTATTTATATTCAGCAGCACAATATTATCATTACCGTTTATGCCTGTTGATTTTGCTCATACATGTACTTTTAGAGATGGTGCAAACCCTTTCAGCAGGGGGAGACTATATAAAAGGGAAGATTGCCAACTGTATCTTTCGGGATCAAGCTGGAAAACAAAACTTTACAACTTATCACTCGTGTATACTATTTTAATTTGGTATTTTTGCGAGATTTCATTTGGTAGAGATTTAGGAACTGAGTATACAGCAGCCAGTGTATTTCAATCATACCACACGAGTCCTCATGTTAATTAAGAAGGATTTAATGAATAATAAAAATGTCTTGTCTTTCTGAATAAGGGAGGGGAAAAAACAAGAAGCTACAAAATCGTCTGAAATTTGCCTTACATGCAAGTTGGATTATTTTAATTCATACGAACATCCCAAAAAAATAACTGAGTATCTCCGCTTTTAGGCTTGGCTAAATCTATATATTACTGTGTTCCAATCATCTCTATTAAAACCATGGCTTTTAGTCTCGAATTAAAAATGCCCAAACAAGTGCGTGTTTTACCCTTTACATCGCCTTATTTTGGATTTTCTTCAATTTCCTTCTATAAAATCGTCCAACATGTCCACAGTACATCGAATCCAGCATGATGCGAATTTTAAACACGTACAGGTGGTTTTTTCGATTTTTGCCAACTTTGTCTTTTTTCCTCTGCAAAAGAAGTGGTTAAATAGATTTCCATGAAAACGAGCTCCAACTAAAGTGAAATATGTATTACCAGTCTGCCAAAGTTTACTGAATTTCACCACGGGAAACACGAGAAAATTCCCTGACGTTTTCCTTTGATCGCGTGCTGATAACTGAAGATTTGGTCCTTAGCTCGCGTGCGATCGTAAAACTATAGGCAGTCACTTAAGGGTTCCGGTAAGTGCCAGAGGTGCTCGAAAATGTTCGGGTGATATTCATAACCCTTCGAAAGGGTCAAGATTATCTTCAGGAATCTTCGGAAAAACGTCTAGTTATCTCCGGAAGGCTTTGGGTGAACTTAGACCACCTTTGGGAAAATTCCGGTGACCGTCGATAGGCTTAATCTGTAATTTTCACCGCTGCTGGTAATTTTTGCACCGCTGCTACACTTTTAGCACTTGTGTTAGCCTTCTACTGCACTGCTCTCAGCCTATCAGAATCGAGGGTATATTAAACAAAATTGAGAACCCGGCCAGGGTTTCTCATTAACCCCCAAAAGGAGTCCTCAACTATATATCTCACCTGTAAAAGTAATCAGAAAATTTTTAACCTCCGAAAAGCTCCCAGCATCGCAAATTAAAACCTAAAAACCGTTTAGTCCTACTCTTCACGTTTATACCTGGGTTACTCATCAACGTTCATGTTTCCTTGATAGCATGGGCAAAAACATCTCCCGGTTGCCGAAAAAAAAAGCATTAAGTGTGAACATTGAAACATTTTACTCATGTTTATTCTCATGACTATCCATAATTCTTTAGTCCTATTTAGACCTGGACTGTGGACAATGCTTATGCTCACGTTGACTGTTTTTTCCAATTTATCCACAGTTATATCGGGTGAACGATTTGGTATGTCGTGTCATTGTACAGGAAACTTAGCGTTTCCATGGTAAACGTATTTTGAAAGCCATATTGTTCAAATGTAGGGTTTTGTTATGTTTATTAACTTACTAGGGACCTTAAGATCGACGTTTTTTTTTCGTTTCCCGCAAACCTCAAAAAGTCACGTGACTCTGACCTTGACCTCACGTTTGACCTTTGAGGTTCAGGTTTGAACGTCAAGGTCACTGTCTAGAGGTAAGTGAATTACGTCAGAGGTTTACACTAGTTTTAAAACCAAAAAGTCACGTTTAAACGTCAGATTTGCTTTCCTTAATCTCGATGAAGTAGAAGTTTGTTTGATTCATTAGCACGATCAATTACAACTCGGAGAATTAACAACTACATTACTGCATGTATCGATGTAAACAAAACTGGCGTCGCCTGTGATTCACATGTTTCGTTGTCAAACTACAGCATTCCTCACTTTTTACGAAGAAAATATACCATCTCATTTACTGCTCAGTTCCTAGATGGCACCCTTTCGATGGCCAACCGTGAAACACGACGGATTTTTGCCTCAGGGGTGCATCAAGAAATCCATAAACTCCTTAAGACTGGGAGGAAATTGCCTCGATTCTCACTAGACAATTCAGTACCACTGAGCATAATGTTACACTGAAAGGACGGGGAAGTCGAGAAACGATAAAAGGACTATTAGAAAAATACAACCGAGATGACGAAAGAACCCTAAAAAACCGTGCTTTGTTACCCTGCATCTTGACGTAAAAATCATCTAGGCAAAACTCCCAGTGACGTATTGGTATCTTAAATTATTTTATAAGCTGGCCATTTACACCAACTTATTTAGTTCGCTTACCCGAAGGCTGTTGCTATCCTTTGTTTTAAACTTGAACGTTGATAGCACATTGGTAGAATTGGACAAACTGACAGCTGGTCCACGGACACGGGTCTCAAGAACTTTTACACCATTTACGACATCAATTTTGATCGTGTACGATTTAGATTCTGTGAGGCCTTCAACTTCTAGCCGAGTCAGCTTCACGGTGTACTCAGATGCTCTCAGTCCAGTGTAATCCACCAGCTCAGCTTGGACACTAGTCGAGAGCGGAGGCTCCCCACGGAACATGCAGCCCTTCAATGGAAGTTCCTGAGTAGCTTCTTTCCATTTCTGTCGCGTTGTTACATAAGACGTTGATAGCTTTGAGCCAGGCCGGCGGTCGTTCACAGAATCATTGTGGTCGTACACCTTTCCTATGACTTCAGTGGTGTCCTTTTGGTATATCAGCGGATGTACCTGATGTGCATGCCAAATGAGGTCAAAGTCGTAGCATGGTACAAAGAACAGATCTGGGTTTTGTTGTTTGAGCACAAGATGCTGTTTATATCTCTCCAATGCTCTAGTCAAGAACTTCTTATCTTCATAATGAGGTAAAGAGACCTGATAGTAAAATACCCTCTGCCGATCGCAGGCCGCTGTGATGTCATACTCAATTCGCGACTCAAAATCAGGCACATGACCAACATAAGTCGTCAGGTCAACTTCAAAAGGCTCACTAGGGTACAACTTCTTCCATAAGATCCTGGCTCTTTCGAGTCCTCTTGTACGTTTCTTTCCGACTAGGACCTTGTGATCCACCAGAGTTGAGACAACTTCCTTGCAGTCCTTTTCGTAGCTGATGGGCGACAACATGTGTACATGCCACACCCAGGCAATGTCGAGAGGTGCTGCGATGTCCTCAGTGACGGACGACTGAGCAGCCAGTGGCAACCAGAACAGTTCATATCTGTAGGTGTTAAAAACATGGCAAGTCACAGCTTTAGAGAGTCAACTGCATGCGTCTATAAAGGTACGATTTAGGCGATCAATTGTAAAGCTTCATAATTTGTAAAACAAACGGAAAGATAAAAGCTTTGTAAGGTACATGAAAATCTCGGATAGCCAAGTTATTTACAAATTTACAAAAATTAGGTTGATCACAAGTCATACCGTGCGAACGGCAGACAACAAGCTCAGAAATGGTCCTGGGATCGCAAGCATGTCTTTTCTGGCCACTCCGTTTGAAATGGCCTTATGATCGCAGCAAAACGTACTTGCGTTGGCGGACATTAAACATGTGCAGTCATTGATTTTTTTTTTTTTTTTTTTTTTTTTTTACATCATTTGCAAAGCCAGTGTAAATACCTCCTTATTGCATTCTGAACGTGCGGTCCAGCATACAGGCTTGGATGGTCATCAACGAGCTGTAAGAACTGTCTGTGTTTAAGGGCAGCGTCCACCAGATCGATGCTAAGATGTACCCCTCTCCAGGCCATGATTCAAATTACTAAATAACGAAATAACAAAGACACATGACTTTGGTTTACACAGCTAACGGTTGGTAAAGGTTCTTCTGGTGGACTGGAGAGACGTAAGATGTCTTTCGAAACTTTTTGCAAGGTACTACCCTGCGAGACCGAGCAGAAAGAAAAGGAAATTTCTGTCTCGCAGGGTATCATGGTACCGATATGTACTTTACATTTTTATTGCGTCCGTAAATTTTCAAGCAAAAGTCAACACAGCGTTTATTAGAGTCCTCATCTACCGGTGACGTGCATGCTGTGTCGTTGTATGTAATACTCGTGTGCAAGTGGTCAGCGCGTCGGACTCGCAATCCAGCGGTGCGGGGTTTGAGTCCCACTCTGACCACTATTTTGATTTGTAGTTCCGAGTTCAAATCATCTTCCACACTTGTGAGTAGCCAACTGGTTTGCCTCCGGCAGGTTAGGATTCTTAACCTTCGGTTGTTTGCTCGGCCTCGCTAGCCCTTGTGCTATAAACAATGCCGAGGATAAATAAAGGTTATTCATATATTTTATCTCTATAACACTTAATTATTCGTCATTTTCTGCGGCCAAACACCTGGTTTCTAACTTGCGAAGCTATTAAACATCAGAGCAGTTCAACTGTTCAGTACCCTGAAACCCAGCTCTATAAGCGCTTGCTTGAGACATCAAGGACATCAAGGATGTTGTTACTACCATATGTAAATTTAGTTACCGAATCACTAATCACTATTCATTCCCTTGCACCCCATTGCGTCCGATCCCAAATGTTTCCAAGATTTTCAAAGTATACATGCAGACAAACACGACTGAAAAAGCAATTCAGTTTTCGATGCGCAGTGTAGTCGATAAAGAGCTGTAGTTTTGTTTGGAAAATTATTCTGACCGCCGACGGAATGAATGCATTCGAGCAGAATTGATAGAAATTCAAATCTTGACAACATGTCTCGTTTCTTCTTCATACGATCTTTTTTAGGAAATATAACCGAATTTTGACCTCATTAACAGGATTTACCGAAAGAAAAACTCTTCAAGTAACTAAGCTTCACAATTTTAACACATAACATAAAGAAAAACTCGAGATATCACCGTAAAACTGAGCATTTTTGCTGCTTGCTCAATTTGTTAGGTCATGTGATCGCACAGACGTCGTGCTTCGCTGGTATTTAGATTGCGATCGAGAACAGTCCGAATGGTATGCTACAGCTAATTATTTGTTTATTCCTCCTAGAATTCATTGAGGCATCACCTCTTTAGGTTCTTCAAGATTTATGTACAAAGCTGATAAACACTGCTCTTTATTAAGTTGCGACGCGACTAGTGTAGATATATATTCAGCAAGGTACAATTACTCCGTATGGTAATATCTCACAGACTTAATGCACCTTCTGTCTTTGATTTTCACCAGAGAGACATTGGAAAATTTCTGCGAAGAATCACGCAAATCACAGTTACGTAGTAAGTATCATAAATAATGTGGTCTTACCCGTAGATTTAAGTCCTTCCTTGAGATACTGTTTCCACGCTCTCTTCAAGTCCAAACAGCTCCCCTACTTGATGTCTGTCACGCGGTTGCCATCTCAAGCGTGAAAAAGTGGTATGATGCCAGCCAGGCGTAGCAAGCGTAAAACGAGGGAGGGGGAGGGGAGCTGGGAAAGCGAGATCGGTGATAAAAGGAGCGGGGAGTGTCTGCAATAAGAACCCCCTTTTGTTCTTTTCTGCGTTCGCTGGCGAACGCAAAATTGCCATTGGCTAATACTCACTTAGTAACTTATTGATTAGTATAGTTGCACAATCTCATCAAAAACAACCGACATTCGTCGCGGATAGTCTGCTGGCAGCCGGTTTTCTCTCTAAGGGTCACTTAGACGAGTGTTTAGTCACCGCCAACGCAAAAGGGCGGTATGGCGCTGGCTGAGTAGGGAAGAAGGTAAGGGCCTTGCAATGTCTCGTCCCATTCCCCTTTGGGCTAAAGTGTCTCGCCTCATACCCCCTGCTGAATTTCGAGATAAAATAAAATAAATAAAAGTTCGAAAGACATTCTCCGCTTATGCACGAGACTCGATGCAACAGACCCTGCATAAATTATCGCAACCGCATTCTTTCTTTTTACTGCCTATTTTCAAGCTCTTCGTGGGAGTACAGGACATTTCCGCGCTAAAATAACGTCATGATTGTTATGTTGTTTTGTTGAGATTTGCCCATTTTTGTCTCTTCTATAATCAATCACTCCGGGAAATAATCTCAATTGACTAAATTCACGCAGGAACTCAGTTATGCCGACAAGCGCGCGCTAGTTTCTAATTGGTGGACCTGCTGACGGTAATTGACAGTTAATGAAATCGGATTACATAGAAACTGGTGGGCGTAATGCGAAGAACCCGGTTCTTATAGCAGGCGTCCCTTTCCCTTTCTTCCTCGCGTGTTTTGCCTCCCTACTCCTTCCCCGTTTACGACTGCAACGCAGGCTATATGATGCTGGCGCTTAAATCTGGTGTCTCATCGGGTTTGCGTAGCAAGAAGCCATACCACACTCTACACCCTCCCTTAGACCATTTATCAACCACGATGGCCTAGGGCCAATTGTTGCCCATAACTCAGGTTCAGTTATTGTATAGGATAACGCGAACTCGGTAGCAGGTATTTTTAATATATTTATCAAGTTTTTTCTACCATGTTAAAATGTCTCATGGGCTTGTTTATTTATAAAATTCCATAACTGTCACTACTGTCTAACTAACCCTCACTCAAAAGCATGATTTTCAAAACAGAATAATGCAGTGTACATCAATGTAAAACAGAAGGTAATTTGCTTGATCGTAGATATGTTATTCTATTAAGTTCAATTTAGGGACATCAGACTCGTTCTTCTCGCATTCATGTTTCACCGACTTGTACTTCGATGAAAGGTGTCAAATCTGCGACTTATTAGCCATTCCAAGCAACTTGCCATTGCAGATTTCCTAATAATGCGACGTTTGAGATCGGGTAATGCGTCAACCCTTAAATGACGTTTTGTTTTGGAGAACATGCTAATTTCTGACCTATGTAACTGAGAAGCGAGGAGGTCCTCTGGCAGGCTAGATGGCAGGCTGTTCGAGCTATGCAAAATGTTCTGCTGAGGGGTAGTGGGGTGGGGTAATTGTGACTAAAAAAATCCGAAAAAAATCCTTTAGACCAAGACGAAAACACAAACCATCATAACAGGAAAAGAAGATCATTCTGGACTGAGAAAGATATATCTCGAGAGTTCTGGATCCAAAAATAAAGACAGCTCATGCTTAACTCGAAACACCCGCTCTTCCCCTATCAACCCCCGAAAGTCCAATGGTCGCCCCCTAAGAATATGGCGTAGCTGTTTACGAGCACGTTCTTTGCGCAGTGTTGCTTAGCTCTCTTATCTTCCAGCAAGTTCTTTGCCTGTGGCTTGGCTGTTCTCCTGAAATTTATCAAAAGGTAAGTATTTCTTCTTTGTTGTAATTTCATTACAACATAATATATAGATTTAACCAACCCTAAAAGCGGAGCTCCTGATTGCAATAATTAACCATAAAGGAAAAACAGGATTTGTTTCTCTTGGATGAGAAACTGAAAAAATTATCAATTGTGAGCATGTAATTGTTCAACCTGTGGCTTCGCTATTTTTTGCGATTAAATTTTAACAAACTACACCCAATAAGGGTAGCCAAGATTGTTGAAATTACGTACGCAATATATCAGGGACTTTCCAAGATACGATTCTGCAAGGAATATGTCGGAGGAAAGGTCAACAACGCGCCAGGGGTTAATTTGCCCCGAAATTTTGGTTTGCAAGCGCTCCCTCCTTTTCCCCCGAGAAATAGAGTCACTTGAGCCTGCGATCAGGAGCAGGGGGTCACTAGCCGCTGACTTCGATCGCAGTGCTCTCCCGCTGGGGGACTCCAATACAAAAACTACAGATTACTCGTCGAACCTTCTAGGGGTTAAGGTGGCTCAAAACAGTTTCCAGCACTTAAATTTTGATGGGTCGTTATAACCACTCTTTATCAGTTGATGTTACAATCATGGTGTCAAAAAACTGCCCAATCATCGGTGAACACGTTGTTATCATTCTCATGGTGCAATAGGTTACCATAGCCACAGTATGACCTCCTAAAAGCACTCTTAATTACAGCTTTGGGGGCTTATAATTAAAAAATGGCACGGTGAATTTTTCCTATGTTATCAACTTTTGTTAAGCATGATAAGACGCAACTTTTGGCAAAGTTTTAAAAAAATTCTGAAGTTAGGGTTCAGAGCCACCTTAAATTTCCAAACATTTAAGGTGATTCTGAACTCTATGTACAGATTATTTTTAAACTTTGACAAAAGTTGCGTCTTATCATGCGTATCAAAAAATGATAATATAAAAAAAAGTTGTGAGAGTTTGTTTGGTTGTTTGCGGCTCGGCGCTGTAATGGCGCGTAATCTTGTGTCACAACGCACAATTTTAACTAAGAAAATGAGTCAATTGCAGTCGAGTTTGATTGTTACTGTATTGAAGAGAGTTTCCATGGAATACCCTTAATGTATTTCCTCGCTTCCAGCTATTTAATTTACTGTGTAAAAGCCTGATTTCAAGTGATTCGCAACGACTGACAGAAATTGTTTTGTTAGTACAACTTCAAACTCTGCAGAAAATTTCAACCGGAAAAATGATTTTGTAGAACTTAAGTGGTGAACTAACTGCACTAAACATTTGTGCCTAGTATCTAAGTTAGTCGTTGCGAAGATTTTTACGAATGCTATATGTAGACGGCACGTAAGCCGATTCGGATATACACAGTTGCATAAACAAACCCACTTGTAAGCCAATTTACCACAGGAAAAAATAAGCATGTTATTTGCCGACTTGGGGTCGGTACGTACAGTGAAGAATTGTGACCTCGGGCATTTTCAAGACGTCGGTCACAGGTTTTCACTATACGGACCTCCCAGCTGGCAAATATAATTTATGCGTTGTATGTTTTTATACCCATTGTTCATGTCTCCAATAAAATGGAGAAGGGTAACTACAAAACGCATCCTAAATAAGCTAATATGCAAGTATTGCATGTCCGACCATGTACGTACTGCGTACCTATTTTTAAGATTATCCAGAGCCCTACTAGTTTCTTAGGCCCCCTCCACATTACTTCTGAAAATGCATCAAATCGTTTTCCGTCAATTAAAACATTACGCCCGAGAAATGTGAAAACGCAACAATCATCGGTCATTTTGGATTTTTATTTGAGGAAAACTAGGGCAAAGAAATCACATTATTATGTTAATGTCATCGTTTTCGAAAAGCCCCGTTTTCAAAGTGTGTCTTGTCTACACTGAGACTGGTACTATATTTTTTGCATTGCGCTATTAATACTAAAATTGTGTGGGCGTCTATAATAACAGAACTTTTCTATTTTATACTCTGTAATGAGTTAAGATCGGCTGTACCTGACTTAGTCATGAAGATCTTACTATCAGCCCTATTATGTAATGATAACAACTTAACGTCCTGCTGATTTTGATATTTTGACAGTGTCTGTTTCAATCTCCGCATCCCCCGCAACCACAACCGCCACATCCACCACAACTACCACATCCACCACATCCACCACAACCACCGCAACCCCCACAACCCCCACATCCACCACAACCACCGCAGGCACCTCCCCCAGTTTCAAACTTGACGTAACAGTTGGTCGGTACATTATTGGCATAGAACCCTGTTGCTACAACAAGCATGAGGTCCTGGCTGCGGATGCTGCGCTGTGCGCTGCCCTCGCCTGATCCAGCAAACCATGGTTTCATGTAGTTGGCCTTTACTGTCGTGGAATATGGCTGGCATAAAAGATGAAGAATAGCTATCGAAAATCCAAGTGCAATTGTTTTCGGTACGTCATGCGCCTCTGACTGACATAAAATCATGCCAGTTCGCAGGTCAACGTCGACGGTTTTCTTCTCTCCCAGAAGGCCTATCGAGAACTTGTCTCCTCGTTTCTCTACGGGTTTCCACTCACGCGTTCCAAAAAGAGAGAAGAACTTTATGGACAGACGTCCAGGTTGGCTCTTTTTGCCGGGAGTTCCCTTGACACCCGGCTTATCGGGAGTTCCCTTTACCCCAGGCACACCACGAACACCCTTAACAAACCCCACCCATTTGCCAACGCAGATACCCCAGTCTTGGCTCCCTCTTATAAAGATTGCTCTTTCTCCCGCCATCTCATCCATGGTGCAACATTTCTCTGGATTGTTTACTTGCTCTCTCGCTGGAAGAACGTCTCCCCGGATGAGATGAGCGGTGCTTACAACGCGCCCGGCATGGTCGATAACCTCCACAGAAGAGAACAGCAGCTGAGCGGAGTGCATAACTCGGCAGGTGAACGCTTCGTTTTTGCCATAGTCGAATAACCAATGCACAGACGATGCGCATGGTGCTGAAGACTGAGCTAGAGACAGCGGAGATAATATTAGCGTCGGCGAGCTCAAGATCTGGGCTGGATGCTGTACCGTGTTGAAATTCTTCTTTGGTTTCACCGTGAAGTGGTACTTATCAAGTCTAGGCGGATTAGCCACGGTAGTAAACCGAACGATGACATTTTCAGCAATCGCTAACTCGTGGGTTACAGGTTCAAGCTCCACGGCGCTGTTGTAGGGGTCTCGGCCAACAAGATAGTTTAGAAACAGGTAGTCGGCAGATTCATCGAATGACGGCGTAACGCAGGAGCAACGTCCTTGTTGGAAAATACGAACCTGATCAAAAAAAAAAAATGAAAACAAGCCTGTTCTGTAAGTTGCTTGTGTGAATGTGAAAATGACAATGTATCGGGCTCTCACCCGAGAAGCGAATGAGGTGGACCCGAAAAAGTCCATCCCTCCCCCCCTACAAAAAAAAAAAAAAATTAAAATTATAATAATAATATAGATGCAATTTAATTTCAACTTTTTGCACTCAAAGTCATGACAAAGACAGTTTTGCACTCAGTTTCAACTTTCTCAATCACTCTCTGTGATTAATTGACGTGCTTTCAGTCAATCCGCTTGTTGAGTTTTTTGTTTCTCTACTTTTAAGAATGACTGAAGCTCGGGTAAATATTTCAAAGGCAAACAAAATTTGGGGTCTTTGAAAAATGTACAAGTGCTTAATTATTCCAAATAGCATTAGGATAATCATGTGGTTACTTATTAATAATGCACATGAAAACATACTATTTAAAGTCTTTTTATACAGATTACAGATTACAGATTACAGATTACAGCGGTCTGGTTTTGAACCCTGGCTGGAGACATTGCGTTGTGTTCTTGGGCAAGACACTACTCTCACAGACTGTGCCTCTCTCCACCCAGGTGTATAAATGGGTACCGGCGAACTTAATGCTGGGGGTAACCCTGCGATGGACTAGCATCCCATCCAGGGGGGAGTAGAAATACTCCTAGTCGCTTAATGCTACTGAAACCGGGATAAGCTCCGGCCTGGTGGGCCACTTGGCTCGTATGCAGACTTTACCTTTAACTTTTACAGATTAATTTACTCTTTCCTTAGCAAGGCTAGTTGCAGTGTTCATGTTTTTTCGAAAATGCCAGAAAAAATTTTCAGAACTTGCGACAATGTTCAAAAGTCTCTGCTAATCTTTCGCTGATTTTCATCAATCTTCGGATGATACTCGCATCTCTTCGGAAATCTTCGAAAGGGTTCCGACGATTGTCAGTGATGCTCTAAACATGTTCGGATAACTGCACTTGTGTTACTTTTCGCACCGGTATTACTCTTTTAGCGCTGGTGTTACCCTTGAACTAACCCTTCCTTGAACTGCACCACTCGAAGCCAATCCGAATCCAGGGTATATTAAACAAAAATGAGAACCCGGCCAGGGTTACCGTGGCTCTTTTTCGTCAAACCCCATGCGTTTCACATCTACCCTTCACTGTTACACCTGGGTACGCCCCTAGAGTTACTCATCAACATTGCTGTTTTCTTGATGGCATTGGCAAAAGCATGAAGCATGAAGCATGAAAAAGTATGGAGAACTTCATGTTTACGTTGAAAAATGTTACTCATTTTCATTCTCATAACTTGGAAGTCCTAATAAACCATAATTCCTTACCCCGTTCAAACCGGGATTGTGGCAAGTACCCGTGCTCGCGTAAACTGATCAAAACGTTTAAATAATGAAGAATCTGAGGTCATTTAACAATTATTATATGGCTTTGGCTTGTGGCCGATATAACGCGCGCTCTGATTGGCTAAGAGCGAGATCTGAGCGGTCATTATGCAGCCGTAATGCCCACGGGCCGATTACGGATTATGCAAATTAGGAAGAGCCCGGCTRGGAAAATTCAAGCGCATTGAAACGATGAAAGCCGATTAAAAACAGTAAGAAAAGTAAATTTAATTCCGAGTAGCTAAAAGTTTAGGGATTTTTCCTTAATAAAATTTGTATAGAAGTCGTTTTTGACTTACCGGTAACCTTGGCGAGCGCTATTGAAAAACAATCAAGGTTTGCCGAGTGTTGAGTAAAGCTAAAATCGCTAAGTGAAAAACACCGTACCATCGGCAGATGTGTCACATATCCTGAGCAGAACACCACGAAGAAACTTATAAGTTATCATCTTAGTCACAACAATCACCGAAATATTGAACTCCGTTTAGTTCTCATCAAATAGATTCCATCGCTTTAACACAAGCAAGTGTAAATCAGCTTCCTGCAGGATCATCACATGTAAACAATCGGGCGGTTTCTGTCGGTAGCAGTGTTTCTGATTCCTGCAGGAAGTTTTAGACGCTCGCAAGGCTTGAAAAGTTCATTCATAACTCCCAGAATGAAGAAGGCCGAGATATGTTGTCGAAAGCGAATGCGAAGATCGAGTTATTCTGAGCAGTGCATTGTGAAGCGTTCGTATTTTCTTTCACCGAAAGACCGTTGGTTTGGACTGTTTTGAAGCACTTTCTGTCTCGGTTCTATATGCGTTGACGTTTCGCCTCATCAGGTTGTGGCACCACGATACTAAAATACCTTTTTGAGGGCTGTGACAATCATTTTTCCAGTAAAGAAATACAGTGGTAAAGTTCATTGACTGTGTAGTTTTGCCCTGGGTTTGAGACGATGAATGAATCGGTAAACGCGCGCATCGCCGGATGTAAATNAAAGCCATTTGACGTAACCTATTGTCTTTACAAAATGAAGCAATCTGATTGGTTGCTATGCGCAGCAAAGAACTGTGATTGGTCCAGGAAAATCACGCCACTGTCAAACTTGACTCGAGCGTCGCTTCTCGTGGAATGAAAACTTACAGCCAAAGCAGAATTGAACTATGAAATCTACAAATCTTAAAGAAAATGCTGGAAAAGTCAAGTCAGTTTTTGTCATCAGAGGAGCCCTGTGAGCCGAAAAGCTTGGACGTTGTCTTGAATATTGCTGGAGTTGAAAAAATACGCTCGGAAAACTTGCGTTTGGGGTCACTGATCTGAAGACTATTCGAATCGAGTTTTGAATGAAAGGAGCGTTTATAGTGACGGTGGAAATTTGTGTCCTCTGTGGTTCGTGATTCTCAAATCAGTTTGAAATAGTGTCGGAGACACCTTTTAGCTGCGATACAGTTGGCCGTGAGCTGTAGTGAGCTATACTTTGCTTGCTACTGTGCCCTGATACGGACTGAAGCATTCACATCGGAAATTAAGGCTATGTGTTTGTTTTACCTGATTTTAAGAAGTGATGTTTTGATGTTTCATTCCTGACATCAATCAGTGTGTCAATAGCTATTTTGAGACTGAAAAAAGTTGAATTTTTTAAATAGATTAATCTCATAAACATTTTGTTCACTGGGTATGTTAAATTCGAGATAAAGCAATGGTTCTCGGCTTACCAAGACCGATTTCGTGCTTGGTTTAGTCTCGCTCGACTGTCGACTGAGACTGCTATTTTAAAAAAGAAACGGCTTTATCTTTTTTCTTACTGCTTCTCGTATCTGCTCAATGTCTCGACAAGACTTTTTTGTACCTTATCATTTGCCCAGTCACGTAAAATATTATCTAAATTCTCAAAACTTTTCCGCCATTTTAAAACACAGAGGGAAAAACTTTGTAATGACGTCAATCGTGCGTCTGTCCTCTGATAGATCATAGGCGAGAACCAATCAAAACGCGAGAATAACTTGGGATATTATATAAAATTTGATAATGCACAGACGTACGGCAACATGATATCTACTTGTTAAGTTGATAACTTTTCGATAATCAGGAAAAACTACTAATTTATCTACAGTTATTTGAGGCTACCTGGGAACAGCTTAGTACGACGAGTCATTGTACTCCATTATAACCGTATATTGACAGGCATATCTTTCAAATTTGGAGTTTTGTTGGTTCTTAACTTATTATTTAGATCCCTTACCCTAAGGCTGTTGCTTTCCTTTGTGTTAAACTTGAAAGTTGATAACACATTGGTAGAATTGGACAAACTGACAGCTGGTCCACGAACCCGGGTCTTAAGAACTCGTTCGCCATTTACTACATCAATTTTGACTTTGTACGATGTAGCTTTTGGGAGGCCTTCAACTTCTAGACGAGTCAGCTTCACGGTGTACTGAAGTGCTGCCAGTTTAGTGTAGTCCACCAGTTCAGCCTGGATACTAGTCGAGAGCGGAGGCTCCCCACGGAACATGGCGCCACGCAAAGCCAATCCCTGGCCAGCTTCTTTCCATTTCCGTCGCGTTGTTTCATAAGACCTTGATAGCTTTGAGCCAGGCTGTCGGTCGTTCACAGAATCATCGTGATTGAGCACCTTTCCTAGGATTTTAGTGGTGTCCTTCTGGTATATCAGCGGATGTACCTGATGCGCATGCCAAATGAGGTCAAAGTCGTAGCATGGTACAAAGAACAGATCTGGGTTTTGTTGTTTGAGGACGAGGTGCTGTTTATATCGCTCCAATGCTCTTTTCAAGAACTTCTTGTCTCCATAATGAGGTAAAGAGACCTGGTAGTAAAATACCCTCTGACGACCGCAGGCCGCTGTGATGTCATACTCAATTCGCGACTCAAAATCAGGCACATGACCAACAGAGGCCGTCAGGTCAACTTCAAAAGGTTCACTAGGGTACGCCGCTTTCCATAAATTCCTCGCTCTTTCAAGTCCTCTTGTAAGTTTCTTTCCGACCAGGATCTTATGATCCACCAGAGTTGAGACAACTTCATTGCAGTCTTTTTCGTAGCTGGTGGGCGACAACATGTGTACATGCCACACCCAAGCAATATCGAGAGGTGCTGCGATGTCCTCAGTGACGGACGACTGAGCAAGCAGTGGCAACCAGAGCAGTTCATATCTATAGGTGTTAAAAGTATGACACGTCACAGCCTTATAGAGCAATTGCATGCACGTATACATGTACGATTTAGGCGAGCAATTACAATGTTTCATAACTTGTAAGACAAACGGGAAAAGGACACCTTTTTAAGATACACGAGTTGCAGGCAGGCATGACGATCAAACGTTAAAACTGGACATCCCCACAAGCTAGGCTAATTAAAATCTTAAAAGCAGTTAAGCTTGATAACCTGTCATACCGTATGAATGGAGGACAAGTGCTCGGAAATCCCCCTGAGGCTGGGATCGCGAGCAGTCATTCGAATTAAAATTGCAGCTTGACCGCAACAAAACTTGCCTGCGTAAGCGGACCTTATTAGACATGTGAAATGATTGAATATACGTCATTCGCAGAATCAGTGTAAATACCTCCTGACTGCGTTCTGAACGTGTGGTCCAGCATACAGGCTTGGATAGGCGTCAACGAGCTGTAAGAACTGACGGTGTTCAAGGGCAGCTTCGACCAGATCGATGCTAAGATGTAACTTCTTCGGGGACATGATTCACGTTACTAAATAACGAAATAAAAAAGACACGAGTTTGGTTTCCACAGCTAACCATTGGAAAGTGTGCTGAGGTGGAGGGACGTGCGACATCTTCCGATACTTTTTGCAGGGTACTAATATGTACTCCAGATTCTTATTGTCCGATTTTTTGGAAGCAAAGATGTGCTTTCCTCTCAAAACAGCTCTTTTCAGAGTTCTCATTCCCTGGTGTATGTTGCGCCGTTTGTTGAAGAATAAAAATGCAAGCCAGAATGTATTCTATAATGTTACTTATTTGTTATTAAATTATTAAGGGCACTTGTTTTTTGGTGCACGATAATATAAGCGTGGATATTTCTGGTATTAAAAAAAAGGTTACTTGATTTTTTTTATTTCATTACTGATCAAATTATGTTTTCCCCTTATACTATGTGTTTGTGTCTACCATTGCTATGGTTAGTTTCTTTTTGGCGTCAATCGAGATAATGAAATAAATTGATGTCTAGTTTTTGGAAGCGCTCTTCCTGGAAACAGTCATTCGGGATTCCATAACTCATCTGGATTTTGTTCTCTAATTTTCAGCCAAATTTTGTTCGTTTAGTAGTCCTTTTAGGACATCGAACTACGATCGTTTAATTAAAATTCATACCTCGTTCACACTTCCCACAAAAGTGGAAAGAATGTGTCATTACCGCAAATAGCACTATGATGTCTCTTTGAATATGTTTAAACTTGAGAGCACGATAATGATATGGACTAGACGGCTTCAGAATTTGACAAAGGCCAACCCACGAACTTGAGATTGTGCAATTGTTTTGTTAGTAACACTTATGTCGCAAGACACTTGTGACAACAACCTTTACTTGTAAACACAGTGTTATCCTAGAATTTTAATCAATAAAAACCAAGATTGTAACTTTTATATTACTCACGTTACTTTATTTTGGTCAACCACTTAGGAATAATCGGTTAAAATCAAGGTAGAAAATGTTTCAGTCAATCTCGATAACCTCGAAGGAAAATATGCTAAGTAGCTTTGTGCGCAGTCGCAATAGATCCTTATGCGAACTGCGCATGACATTACGTTAGCCTAATTGAAAGTTTGACAGTGGTTTGATGGATCAAGTGTTTGTCCCTTTAAAGGGAACGTGACGAGTGAACTCCTAGTTGTTGTGATAGTTGTTGTAATCAGTCAAAAGCAGAAGTAGAAAAACGTTGTGACAACTGCACTAGAGAGATCATTGGAAATTAAAAGTGAAGTAGCCAAACAAGAGAGTGTTAGAGTGGTCTGCTAATTTCCCCAAAGGTTGCTTCAACAAGTTGTACCTAATAATAATGATACTCTTCATATTACGCAAATTTCATACAAATGTTCAATTGTGCATAACAACAATAGGGATAACAACAATAAAGGTAAACCAATTATAATTAAACGCTTTGATGAGATGCTAAATAATAAAAACAACAACAAATCTTCCACAGTTTTGGCACTTCTTAGATGAACGAAATTATTTGGCAGTTTATTACTAAACTTGTTTGAAGAGGATCACAACTCTTCTAATAGAGCACAATGACCGTGTAACAAGTTATGACCATGAGATAGACCCGCACTGAAATTCAGGAAGCTATCACGCGCACCCATGAATTTTTTATCATGCGTCATTTTCTGTGCCCAAACACCTGCCGTCTAACTTTCTAAACTACATAACATCAGAACACTTCAACTTATTTTCAGCACCACAGCTCCGCTTTACAGACCCTTGCTTGAGCCGTGATAATAAAGGATGTTTTTTCCTTCTGTATGTAAATTCAGATACTGAATTCTTATTCATTCCCTCGCACCCCATTGCGCCCAATTTAAAAATTTTCCAAGTTTACAATTTCTACAGATTACATGCAGGCAAACATGACTGCATAGCAATTTTTCTTTTCGGCGCGCGGTGTAGTCGATAAAAAGCTGTTAGTTTTGTTTTGGAAATGTATTCTAATTACTGGCGAAATGAATTTGTTCGACCGTGAAATGAAGTGATACGTTTGACTTACCTTGTCTTGATGCGATCCCTTCTATGAAATATAATTTTAACTGCCGTTGAGAACCTCTCTCAAGCCTAAAACGAAAAGTAAATTCAGACTCAGTTAATTACGATCCTTGACGCGAATGAACAATCCACTTGGGTACGGATATACGAGATCTGTTTCGCAGCTGAGTTTCGGAAGATTCTGTCGACGTTTAGAGACGTTTCTCAGAAGATAGTGCGGATGGCCACAATTTTGAGGTCACGTGATCGCACATGTAGCGTTCCGCTTGTATTTTGATTGGGATCGACTGTACGCTGGACAAGAACTGCTTATCGTGTAAAACACTGAAAACACGGCACAGCTAATTATATATTCAATTGTCGAAGAATAAATTGCGGCTAAACTATTGTAACACCAGAATACGTGCCATTCCGGCATAATTTGTATAATATTAGCCTGGGCTTGCACAAAGCATTTTAGGTATATTTATTTTATTTTTATTTTTTTTGTCAAAACCGCCACGAATGATTAAGCTGCGTGGGTTTGAATATGCATTATTCAGTTGTTAACCGCAGTTCGATTCAGTTCATGTCAGTTGCTTTAAGTTCAGTAAGAAAAATCTCAGCGACAGATTTGGTGAATACAGACGAGCAATCGAAAAAGCCATCACACAACGACACATTGGTCAACCCACCGCCTTTTCAGATCACTTTACCCTTCCTGCCCATTCTATGGACAACACAGAACTCGTTCCTCTCAAAAGTTAATCTATTTTTTTTTAATGTATCAGCTTTAGTACACGTTTCATTTTTCTCTATTTTTGTCAACCAATCATGTCACATATTTCCTTCAGTATCATTAACATTTTGTAACCGTTTTCTCCATATCTACTTAGCTTCAGTGTAGCCCCTAAAGAAGGTTTGTCCTCTCTAACCAATATATTGGGCATTAAATTTACCCTTTTCAGCCGTCCGGCCAGCCTTTCAATTGGCTTTATCCAAAAAAATATAGCCTGAACATTAAATTGGAGCTTAAGCAACTTGAACAAAATTCATTAACAGTACTGACAAAAGGACCGATCCCTGACTGGAAAAGCAAAGGAAAACAACACGCACGCTTAAATCGGAATGGTTGTGCTCGTGTAATTATCAGTGTTCGGGGGAGCGCGGTCAAAATATCTGAAAATCTGTTCAACAGGCCACGACATTTTTAGAAGCTGATCTCAAGGAGTGGAAAAAGCTTTATCCAAAGCACCACTTGAGCAGCAAATTCACGCACGCACATCAAATTCAGACAAACTTATATACATGGCTTTCAGACACAACCTGTGGCCAAAGTTAACCAGCCTCCAATTAACCATATTCAGTCTATTTCAGGGCACTTGAACCGTCCCATTACCCAAATCAGCCGGCGTTATTTCACCATATCCAGAAAGCAAACAAAACAAGTTTCCATTTTTAGTGCAACAAATGCAAGCACATAGACTTTGGCCTAGAAATGCAAAACGATACACGTGCCTGCAATATTGACTAATACAGTGATTTCAAGAGCTTTATCTACTGATCAGCAGAATTATTCCAAAAAGTTTACAGATGATGAAAGGACATCATTAGCATATCATTTGCATAATCTGCACCACAACTAAAACCCTATAGATTGCTATGCAATCTCCTGATTGAAATCAAATACCGGCAACTGATGAGACCCGCATGGAGGATCAAAACCATGGTCTTGCTGAACAAAGCCAAACAATGGCATAAGATATACAACACGCAAAACAGTTACCCAAAAAGATACTTGACAGCTGAAAATAGTGGCGTTTCGTCATGAACACCCTAAGTGAGACAAGAATCCTTGATTTGTACACCTAAGAGGAACAACGAGCATCCTCGACCTTTTCAGACTTTTCACATGAGAGGCCCGCGCCCCCGAGCGGCAAATGCGCAAATGTCCCGAACCGTAGGGACATTTAATCTATGCAAAATAGTTGCATAGCCTGTGAACGGGCTCTCAGCCTGCGACCAGGCTCACATTGGGGTCGTCGATAAAACCAGGAACATGGAACATTCCGGAACATCCCGGAACATCGAATAATTATAATAATTATGCGAAAAATATGCAAAATTAATTTTTTTAAAAATTAAATCAAACAAAAATAAACTGGTATCAGCTCGGAAAATAAAAACAAAAACATAACAAAACAAAACAAAAAAACAGAAAAAAGAAAGAAAAATGAAAGTGACTGCAATTAGTGAAGGCTAGCAACTAAGAAGAGTAATCCATTCCTTCCAAACGTTCGCCGTCAGTTTAATCATGTGACTGTCCCTTATTCCCAGATTTCGTTCTTCACAGAAAACCAAGGTGGTGGCGTTCGAACTCCTTAATCAGACCTAAAAATATGGGTACACGAGTGTGATTTCTTTATTCAATTCATTACGTCAATACAAAGATATGCGTATACATGATTACTCGTGAAGAAATAGTTTCTCAATTAGATAGAAATAGAAACTCTTCGGCATTGAGTTTCTTGTCTAAACTAGTTCGGACTGCTCGAGCTCTGATCACAGTGTAAACAAATACAAACACAAAATTTAAAAACATTTGGCGACGCGCGCGCTGTCTTGCACGGTCGCTGGTCAAAACTTTATTGTCTCAAGAAATATTTGTTACAAGTGTTGGCGATCTGAAACTGGAAAATGTTTTGTCCAGTACAAGTCAATACTTACTTTTACCGTAGGCTATAATCTATTCATCGCCACCAGAGTAGACTAGACATGCGAAGTACGTGCGTGCGAGTGAACGCGCTACCCTAATCTTTGATTGCTACTAGGTAATAATAACTTGCTTGTTACTCGGGCTTCCGGAAAGGCTTGGTGGGTCATAGTGTCAGACGTTCCTAGCGGAGCGGCTCGAAAACTAGGGATGATAAAAAGCAACATGAAGACCGAACAGTGACAAAACTATGGCTACTGACTTAACAAGCAACTGTATGATGCTTAGACGAACACCCCAGGTGTTGAAGAAAACAGGGATCAAAAAAGAAGACGCAATGAATTACCTGGCATTCATCGTCCGAATCGTCCATGTTTGTGTTGAAAAACAGAGTGCTGTAAAGCGACGTGAAGCAATTGGCGGGAAAGAAGAGGAGCCTGCACTCATTGAAGTCAGTTGAAAGAAAACCCAACGCTTCCTACCCCTCCCCTACCGACTCCCCTATCCCAGTAATATCTTTTCATTTTGGAGCTGATACCAGTTTAGTTTTGTTTATTTTAGTTTTGAAAATTTAATTTTACATATTTTTCCCATATTATTATAATTATGCGATGTTCCGGAATGTTCCGGGATGTTCCGGGATGTTCCGGGATGTTCCGGAATGTTCCGGAATGTT